TCAGAAAACAGGGATGTGAAAGAAGGAGCAGACCAGGCTTGAGGAAGCTTTGACCCAAGGCACCACGATCATAGGGGCGAGGGGACCTGCAGAGGTTCTAGGTGGCGGGAAGAGAGCCTTCCGTGACGCCTGCGGAGGAGGTTCTGGGAGGCAACAGCTCTGTGGCAAAACACACACATCTGGGAGTGAAATAACAGATCATTAAACAAGACACCAATTTGCTTTCTCAAAACCAAATCAAACTTTAAAAAACTATGCAAATAACCCTGGGTGCACTGGAGTAGGAGTACACTGGAGAAGTCTGTGGAATGAGCTGCACTAGCTGAGTCACAGAGGATGCTGGCTGTGACGTCAGCATCCACACTGTGGCTACTGCAGCTAAAGAGAATGAAGGGAGCGCGAGGCCTCTCCAAACAGAGGAGGACGGAAAGGGGGCCGAATGTGAACCACACCTCTTTTATTCCAAGAATGGGAAGTGCATTTTCATTGGCCTGAATGAGAAGCTTCATACTCCACTCTAGCTGCAGTAATACTGCATCCCGTCCACTCTTCTTCTCTTTTTTGACTGAAACTCTTCAAAGAACTGCTGAATGTCCTCTCTCTTAACAACCTGTTGATGAAAAGCAAAGATTATGAAAGAGAACTAAGTAACAGAATCGCAATTTTGAGGCCATAGCATTCACAAACAAGTCAAATGATACTGCTAAGAATTACGTTCATGTGCAGTTAATGATACCATCTCCATTTTCTGGTTTTTTTTGAGATGGAGTCTTGCTCTGTCACCCAGGCTGGAGTGCAGTGGCATGATCTCGGCTCATGCAACCTCCACCTCCTGGGTTCAAACCATTCTGTTGCCTCAGCCTCCCCAGTAGCTGGGATTACAGGCGCGCACCACCATGCCCAGCTAGTTTTTGTATTTTTAGTAAAGACAAGGTTTCACTATGTTGTCCAGCCTGGTCTCGAACTCCTGACCTTATGACCCACCCACTTCGGCCTCCCAAAGTGCTGGGATTACAGGCTTGAGCCACCGCGCCCGGCCACCATCTCCATTTTCTAGGAGGGATGCTCAGGCACACAGGGCTGACCTGCTCAGAGCCACACAGCTGGGCACAACAGCAGAATGGTTCCAAGCTGGGTGACCCCTACTGCAGTTTCCCTTTACAAAATGAGACAACAGCAGCACCTATCTAGCAGGGTCAACTGAAGGCTGGATAAGCGACAACGCCCACAAAACACTGCCTGGCACGTGGCAAGTTCTCAAGATGAGCTGAAATTGGCAGAGCCAGCACACAAACCGAGAACCCCAAAGTCCTCCTCAGACCACTGCCCACACCCTCTTACCACAGCTGTGTTTCTGTATGTCCTCCAGCTCTGCAAAAGCACCCACAAAAAACAAAATGTACTATACTGGGAGATTGTGCTTTCTTTACCAGCAACAGAGGTGTTAAGAAAAAGGAACTAAAAAGCTTTTCCCTCTGGCCAGGCACAGTGGCTCATGCCTGTAATCCCAGCATTTTGGGAGGCTGAGGCGGGTGGAACATGAGGTCAGGAGATCAAGACCATCCTGGCTAACACGGTGAAACCCCATCTCTACTAAAAAAATACAAAAAACTAGCCGGGCGCGGTGGCGGGCACCTGTAGTCCCAGCTACTCGGGAGGCTGAGGCAGGAGAATGGCATGAACCCAGGAGGCGGAGCTGGCAGTGAGCCCAGATCATGCCACTGCACTCCAGCCTGGGCGACAGAGCAAGACTCTGTCTCAAAAAAAAAACTTTTCCCTCTTTGTCATCAATGAAAAAAACAAACTTAAGAGTCCAAAATTAAAGATGTTTGCTATATACACAGAAAAATAATTGGGAAAAAACTCATACTATAGAAGCAGCACTTTGAATAAATCCACCTTATGCAATAAAAATGGAAATTTATCTATTCTATTGGAAAAAGGATTTAGTGTCCCATACAAAGGTGTTTATGATATTAGCAAAATAAAATATTGCAAATAACAAAACAAGACAAAGGGAAAATACAAATAAAAAAGCAAACTGGTCTAGGTGCAGTGGTTCACGCCTGTAATCCCAGCACTTTGGGAGGGCGAGGTGAGCGGATTGCTGGGGCCAGGAGTTCAAGAACCAGCCTGGACAACGTGGCGAAACAGTCTCTACTTTCTGAACAATAAGCATATGTTACCTTATTAAAAAAAACAAACATGCGAGTGTCATGGCTCATACCTGTAATCCAGCATTCTGGTAGGGAGTGGTGGGAGGATCACTTGAGCTCAGAAGTTTGGAGCCAGTGTGGGTATATAGTGAGACCTCGTACTACACAAAATTTAAAAATTAACCGAGGCGTGGACTGGCCGCAGCTGGGCTCACGCCTATACATCCCAGCACTTTGGGGAGCTGAGGCGGGCGGATACACGAGGTCAGGAGATCGAGACCATCCTGGCTAACATGGTGAAACCCGTCTGTACTAAACAATACAAAAAAAATTAGCCAGGTGCGGTGCGCGGCAACCTGTAGTCCATCTACGTCGGAGGGCTGAGGCGAGAGAGTGGCATGAACCCGGAAGGCAGAGTTTTGCAGTGAGCCGAGATTGTGCCACTGTACTTCCTGCACTCCAGCCTGGGCAACAGAGCGGAGACTCCATCTCAAAAACAAATAAACAAAACAAGCAACAACAACAACCAATTAGCCAGTGTGGCGTGCACCCTATAGTCCCAGCTCTTGGAGGCTGAGGTGGAGGTTTGCTTGAGTCAACGAGGTCGAGGCTGCAGTGAACTGTGATTGCGCCACTCCACTCCGAGTCTGGGTTGCAGAGGGAGACCCACTGTCTCAAAAAATAAATAAACAAACCTGTTTCTGTGATGGCATTAGACAGCTTTCGATGGATCCATTGGCGCAGACTCGCTGTTGGGCGTGGGCAGGGACTGGCCAGGGTTGTCCAGTTGGCTTTTTGTTTTGTTTTGTTTTGTTTATTTTGGAGATGGAGTCTCACTCTGTCGCCCAGGCTGGGTGTAGTGCACGAGCTCAGCTCACTGCGGCCTCCACCTCCTCGGGTACAAGCATTCTCCTGCCCACTCCTGGAGTAGGCACGGCTTTACCGCCGCGACCTCCGACGCAATGCCTCCTAATTTTTTGTGGATTTTCAGTAGCAG